AAAAAAATTAAAATAACTGATACAGAGGCCACCACACACACTTCCTCCTCTCTGGACCTGATCACAGTGCACTGACAGTTTCCTGGGTTCCACTTCACACACACACACAGTTTTTTTTTTTTTTTTGGACCCGCCGCTATGGTTTCATCCAGCAACAAACATCGGCTCATTGTTGCTGAGCGAAAGATCCAGGGTTTATGTCTTAATTGTGTTAATGAGGCACCAGCGAGGTGGAGCTCAACCTGCAAACCATCAGTGGCTCTTAACATGGTTTGGGTCGTTTATTTGGCTCAGCTGCATCAGGAGGTGACGTCTGAGTAAATCTTTCGATTGTTAAAAATGTTAAAAAATATTGTTGAAAAGTCAAACCCAAGTCAAAAATCTAGATTTCATCAGCGCTGGATCTTTGGAATCTCATTCATTCATTTATCTGGTTCTTCCTGAGTCCATGACGTTCCTGTGTTTTATCTCCAAGTCCATCCATCTGTCTGGAGGCCGGCCGCGTCATCCATCACCTCCAGCATCAGTTTGTGAGTGACGAGAAGGATAAATAAATGAATCATTCCTGTGCAACAGCACCACCATCCCACACACGGTGTCTGTGTCTGCAGGAGTTTTGTTTCCGTGCCTCCTCTGGACTCAAACACTCTTCCGCTGGGGAACAGCACGGTGCAATCACGGCGGCTTTATGGCAGCCAATCTGCCATTCAGAGAAGACCAAGATTGATGATGCCTGTCCTGACAGACTGGTACACACACACACACACACAGGGAACCGCCGCTGTCCAACATGCACCACACACACACACGCTCATAAACCGCACTCCATCTGGTGGGAGGCAAACAAGGAAACGTGTCCATAAATTCTTTGCTGCTTGAGAAATCCGACTGTGGAAGTTAGCGAAGGAACGCAAAAGATAAAACGAGCGCAAGTGCTGGACTCAGGGAGCAGATCATCTGGGTGTGTTTAACTCACACACACACACACACACATCCCTGTAGTTTGACCATCTGACCTGCTGACCACACCATTTACATTAACCGAACACAATTGTATTCTTCCCATGAATGCAGCGTTAACCGCCCCAGGCTCCCATTCACACTCAAACGGAAGTATTTTTACGACCTCCAAGCGCCAGTGAACAAGTTTAAAGCAGCTTAATTGCAGCGTTGACCTGATTGGCAGCTGAGTGAATGTGTCTTGTTGGGGAAGAGGCCACAGACCGAGGGCAGTTAAGTGTTAAAGAGGAGAAGCAGGTTAATGAGTTAAAGGCTGCACAGACCTGGGATTCACAGAGATTCACGTCTTCATACGGACTAATAACTGCAAAGTTGGAATGTGACGGCACGATACGATATATATCAACAATATGATATATATGAGGTTTATTGAGATACTATAGGTTAGACGACATATTGAGGTTTATTTCACCAATGTAACTGTAGTCAAAGTGTGATCATATTAAAGACATGTAACCACACAGTAAGACCAGGAATGAAACAGCAAAACGAGATCATCTTGTGAGGCAATCCTCTACTCACAATTTTCCCACCTGGTCAGTGTTATTTAACCAAGTTAAATTTAAAACACAGAACCAAACCCTGATGTTCCATCTTCAAAGACGACTGCAACAAAATCATCTCTGACCAATCTGGTCAAACTTCACACGGCACGCATCACGGGACTCGGGTTCTAATCTTTGTACAGTAGTTGGAGGACGTGAGCTAACGAGGGCCTCCGTGAGCCGAGAAGCTCTGACCCGTGACAACCAGACAGCTCCAGTGAACTTTAAAGGTGATTAGATCAGAGCTGCTGCTCAGCCGCTCTGCCAACAAAACCCTCCTGATGAGGCTCAGCAGCCGCGCTGAGACAGACCTAATGAGTGAGGCGTAATCAACACCATGACTGAGCCCCTCCAGTTCAGCCAGGATTCAGCTCAGCAGGCTGTGACACTGTTTACAAGCTGAAACACTGAACCACTAACCAGGACAAAAGAGAAAATCTGATGACTTTAACAGAGTTGGTGTAAAAACTGAGGAGAGGAAGGGCTGATTAATGAGCTGGAGATATGTTTTAAACTGATGACCTCAACACACTTCTTTGGCTGAGGTCCATCCTGTCAATGTACCGGGAGCAGTGAAAATACAGGAATCAGAACGAAAGGGGGAAAAGAGCTTCAAAGTCATGGTGAAGTAGACGTGAAGATTTTTTTCGTCTTTACACTCAAGTTCAACCTGAAAATCTAAACTTGATCAGCGAATCTGAGAACGGCTCAGGTTGGTCAAAAAGTTAATTAAAGTTCAGGTAAATGTTTGGATCTTAGTTTCATCATCTTTGGCCCAAAGTAAATACAGTAAAAAAATGCAATGGTTTTCATTACATAGTTTCCAACACTGTCTGTTTGGTGTAAAATAAATTTACATTGAAGTGTAAAAAACATCACGTTGACCAATTTAGTTGACTATTCATACTGGTTTGTATAATACAAGAACACAGACTGGTGTGTTTGATTTAAACATGTGACGAGTAGGTTCAAAATTCACATTCAAATTCACTGAAATGCAATAAATACAATAAATACATGTCATATAAAATAAATAAATGTCATTTTGGGATTTTAAACAGTTATGCAATTCATTTTTTTTATCTTTCATTCAGTGTAAAATATGTCAATTGTTTTTAAAAAAGAACACTTCAGAAAAAAAACAATAAATGGAACACAGACAGCAAAAGTAATTTATAACAAAGTACAGTGCAGAGCGTAACTGAGTGGAGATGTCATACAGGTGGTAAATGGCTTCAAAAACTGGGAAAAGAAAAACTATAAATACAAAATGATTTTACTTACAGTGATCGATGAGCCGACCTCGGTGGAGAATTTCCAGAATTGACTTCCAACAAGATGAAGTAAGAAAACTGAGGTTTCCTATCGAGTAATAAAAATAAATAAATAAATATCACACAAAATTTAAAAAAAGATCAAAACATCAAACAGCATCGTTTGATGCCAAGAGTGGATTCTTTTACATTTATTTAATTATTTATTGTATTTTCACATCGTCTTTCTCTGATTCTAAACTCATGTAATCTAATTTATACTTTTGTTTTTTCATCATATAGTATGCATATATGTATGTATATATGTCTTAAAATTAATATTTATGTATTTGTACTGATTTCTTATACACAATTCTCGATTATTAAGATTATGTGCAGCTGTAAAAAAAGGGCAAAAGTAAATGAAGGGAATACATATGACATGTTACTACTGTGGAAAAAATATATATATAATAAAAGTTAAAAAATACAAAGAAGGAAACAACGAAATTAAAATAAAAACCGGAACAACCGTGTTAGCAAACGGATAGCTAATGCTAGTTATAGCAAAAACCAAAAACGCTGACAAATACCCGCGTGAAACTCTTATTAAAACTTAATTATATGATTTCATTTTGATAAATACTTAAATTTTATAACAAATAAAGACTTACTTCACTGCAGCCCACTCGAAAGTAACGTCAAAACACTCGGTTCGACCGGTAAAAGCTGTAACGTAGACGTTAATAACCACTTAACCGATCTTCCCGCTTTATGATATCCCGGAAGTGACATCACAAAGATGTCAAAAGGCGCAAACTTATCGAGTTTTATTTCTGTTTTTACAGGCAAAAGATTATTTGTAAATACTTTATATTTAGTTTTTTGCAAATGTGTTCGTTCAATTTATAACTTTATAACTAAAAATAATCGCTTTATTAAAAAAATCTTGATATGTTTTATATTACATATTTTTATATTACATTACAATCACTACCTAATACCATGTGACCAAGAGTCTGAGCTGAAGCACTTAATGATCACATGACACTCTAACAACGTAAAAAAAAGCACTAGATTTCTAGATATTTTAAATATTTTATTAGCACATGCTATTTTTTAAAAATAATTTTAATTATTAGGTAAGATTTAATTGATGATCAAATTCAAAGAAACCACTAACGTAAGGTGCAGTAGCCGTCATTTCAGGTTCTAGCAGGTTCTCCACTTTGTCCGTGGGCAGGTACACTGGTCTCAGAGTTCAAAAGTTTAAACATGGGCAGGATCTGTTGTCGGGACGCTTTAAGCAACTTAGGGACTTATGGAGCGGTAATCCTTTGTGTGTAACTGATTTAATGAACAAAGTAAAAACAGAGGCCTGATCCTCTAATCCCTCAAATACTAGCAGCTACTTGAAGTACTGGTGCAGTGAGCTGCGGTTCTGTCCCCTTGATGTTAATCATGTCATGTAAATCCACGGAGCTGCAGATTCAAAGTGATCAGAATAAAACAAAAGCAAACCTTTTGGAGGAGGATCTGTGACACATCATGCTGCGTACCCTGAGACGGAACCTCTGCTAAGTGGTGTGTGTGGGTCGCTGCGTTAACATGTGTGCTGAATTCTCTGGCATGTGAAAGAGATTGAGTTTCATAAGGAGATCTGGTCGTTAATTCGCCTGTTTATCTTGACGCAGGGCTCTGGACTAAATTCGAGTGTAATATACGATTCTTCCAGACACTTTTTATCTTTGCCGACGTCTGCGTCTGCCCCGACTCTCCACCCTCCCTCAGCTCTCCAACCCCAACGTGCAGATTCTTCCTCCATAGGCCACGTACTTCTGCTGTTCATCAGCCTAATGAATCATCTTATCTTCAGCGAGCTGACGTAGACCGCCGCCACCGTTCCACCTCCTTCCAAAAGTTTTGACAGCGGCCTTTCAGTTCACTCAATCATATTTACTTTGACAAAACAAGACATCACTTTGATTCAGGGCGACGGGGAGGAAGTGTTGATGCTCTGCAGCTGCTGCACATGTAAAGAACCGAGCTGAGCCGGGCCAGGTCTGGTTTCAGGCCTCACTGTGGTTTATGTTGGCCCCGGATCAGCACCCATAGTTCCTGTCTCAAACATTTTCACAGTGCATCGGTATGAACTGCACATACATGTATTTGTTACAATGTGTTAGTGTCTGGAAAAGTTTTTTTATTTTTTTTTTTAAATGGGAATTATTTGATGATTTCACACAGTTTTATCCTCACTGCTTTAGTCAGACCTTTGGTTACCGAGGCGTTTTGGCGCTATCCAGTGGAAAAACCTCAGACATCAGCACACAGTACAGGTTTTTTGTTAAAAATGTTTTGAAAGATGTGACTTTTTTTACCATTCACTCTCCCATTCACTTTTTTTTTAAAAAAAAAGTATACTGAGTCAGTTTTAAGACAGTTTGAACAGTGCATATTTTGGACAAAGAGTTCATACAGAAAATAAAGCTGGCAGACAAGATTCAATGATAGCATGTAGAGTAGAGCAGGGTTCCCCAAACCCTAAAAACTGTTTTATTCTGAAAATATATTGATCTTTGAAAATCCTCTAACAATCTTTTGAGACCAAAAGGTTAAGGTAAGAGAGAGCTATGATTATAATAAAAATAAAATGTACAGAAAATAATTACATCAAACTCTGTTATAAAAAAGTAAACATCAGAAACAACTAAATGTGGTTCAGTCCAGATCGCACCATTGGGCTGAGTGTGACCCCCAGTGGTAGAGACGCTGGCTGCGTAGGTTGTCCTCATGTTGATTGGCTCAGTTTGAAGGTCACTGTGACCTTAAGTGTCCTTCACTGTCATCATCATCATCATCGTTGTCATTCAGGACTGACTGGTGAGTAGTCAGGACCGTCATCTTCATCACCTCATGATCAGAACACAACAAAGGTCAGAGGTCAACGTCATTCTTTACCAAAACATTTAGGTGTTTTTTTGTTGTTGTTGTTGTTAATATTTACTTGATGTTTCTTGACAACTGAACTGTAACCTCAAAGGGTGAGAAGAGATGTTACCAGCAGGGGGCAGACTTTCTTCTGGGTCTGACATTTGAGAAGAAAAAAAAATGTTTCACTACTAATTCATAATTCAAAATTCAAAGAACTTTCATTCATGTACTGTTTCATCTATTGCTGATGGAGACATATTAACACCATGAACTGACCAGGAGTGACCAACACGTAGCCTCTGCTGTCTACGTTTTGATAAGACTCTCCAGAGGAGGTGCTGCTGGAGTCGAATGAGTCCTCTGAGATCTTCGATGCTCTGGTGCTCTGCAGAGCATACTGGGAAATACCGTTGGGTATGGATTCAGGTACTGAAAAGAACAATGAAAACCAGACATAGAAGACAGTTCAACAGTGCTGTGGATGAAACATATTATTACTAATAAATGTTAGATTCAATAGTGGAGGAAACAGTGGAGGTCTGTTATATGTTTAGCCAGTCATGACAGTGGTTCAGTATTGACTTTTCTCCAGTGGATTAAGAATTATTTAAAACAATGATTTCAAATATTTTAGATTTTGAATTAATATTAATTTTATTAATGATTAATTATTGTTAAACTCTGTTTAAAGCACGTGTTGCTTCTTCTATCAATTAACATAATTTTCTTTTCCATTTGTTTTTCTTTTCTTGACTAGTTAGGGGTTTTTTTTTTTGTTTTTTTTTTAAAGTAACACCCACCTTCCTCAAAGATGTTGTTCAGAGGCTTCGTCGGAGCGCCTGCGTTGATTTTATAGCGCTGGGAATCTGGATTGAAGAACATGAACATGGTCAAAATGCAACAGTGCAGTCGTGCAGTGCAGCGTGCAAAGACCGACGAGGCAGAGCGGCATCGACCGCAAACGGGAAATCACTCACACACTGAGATTATTATTTAGGAAATAAAGAAGGGCGCTCACTGTGAAAGGTTGATAAAGTGTAACGCGGCTCATACTGCTCATTGTCTGTATCTACTGAGGTGCTGTCAATGCTACTGTGTGGGGTCCAGTGAAACCGGGCTTTGGGGTCGACTATTGCAGGAAAAACACAAAAATAAAAGACAACTTTCAGAGGTCTAACTTCCAGGAAGTTCTACTTCTGCTGGTTGAACTTTGACACTGTTATCGTCCAATCAGCAACGTAAAGAAGAAAAACAAACAACAACAACAACACATTCATTTCCTTCTCATACTGACGGGTTCTTGTCAAGTACACGGCCACAGACGTTCTCCTACTGACCGCTTGTTTGCTCCTGGCTGTTGGTGACTTTGACCAGGTCCACGGTGTCCTCGTGCTTGGTCTGATGAAATCCAGAAGACAGTCTGGAGTTTGTGTTTCTCTGCTGCAGTAAGAACGCTGACGACAAAAATATGACTTTGAGACTTCATTCAGTCTGGAGTGAAACAAATTAAGACTTTAAATATTTTAAAACAGGGTCTTAAAAAGGATCTGGGTTCTCAAGCAATGCTACATGCGCCCTCTAGTGGTAAGAGGGGGAATCTGACTCCTATTCAGACAAGGTGAGTGTGTGCTCTGTACGTGTGTGTCGGTCGTATATGCTGCTTCATCAAACAGTGTGACAAATGTAATGACCTTCAACGTCTTGGCAAACTGTGCTCAGCTCAGTGGTTCCCAACATAAGGGGCAAGTCACCCCCAGTAGGCGTGAGAGAGAGCTGAGGAGGACTCACCGTGTCGCTTCCTGTAGTGGCAGCAGAGAACGGTGCTAATGATCAGCAGCAGAAGCAGCAGAAGAGACACGGACATGGAGAACAGAAGCTCGGGCGGTATGATGGCTCCGCCTACAGCAGCTGTGGGTGGAGCTGAAGGAGAGAAGAGTTCAGAGCAGAATAAGATCTGACGTCTCTCAGGTCTAACGATGCTGCGCGTTGATAAACTTTTGTTTTTCTGTCCGTTGCTAATATTTTCTTGACAATTTCTTTGTACTTTCACTACCTTTTATTTTAGCCTTAGCTTAACATTAACATTTGGTTCATTTAAAACAATCTAGAGGTCTATATCTTGAGATAACTTGGATCACCTTTAAACTAACTATTTTTGCTATTAGTGGCTAACATTTAGCTATCACACTTTTAAAGAAGCTTGCTGTACTTTCATGGCTACGTTTGAGCTAACGCCTACGTAACAAACGTTCAACTAAGGCTACCGACACAAAATACCATTTGACATTGTTAAACACAGTTTTAAATGAACAGGGATTTTAAAAAACAACAAGCGTTAACTGTTAACCTGTTGTCAGGCTGGTCATTTTATTCGGATCGGCTGTGGAGGCCGTGAGGAACCCAAGAGAACCTGCAGAAGAAAACAACACTTGGTCATTTTTTTAAATCTGAAAACGTTGATCTGTCTGAAAGACAATGAAACGATTTTTCAGTGACAAAATTATCACTTGGCCAAATTTACAGCATAGTAATGAATGATGGCGCCCAAAATATGGGATGAATCCATCGTCGGGACCTTAAAGGTTGCTACGGCGACAATAAGGCAAGGTGCAGTGTAGGTTTAGTTTTGACTAAGATGTGGCCTACAGTCTGGACACCAGACAGTTGGAGTTAGTCTATACTGCATCTCTACTAAAGTACAGTCTGGACACCAGACAGTTGGAGTCTGGAGCTGTGTACAGCAGGTGTTAGTCTAGATACTGCATCTCTACTGAACCACCTAGTTCTAGTACTTTAACTGCACAGAGTAAAAATGTAATAAATATTCACTGTTCACAAGGTAAAAAAAAATACAGAGAAGTGAAAAATTAATTTTTCCTCAAGACATTAAAAATATAAAAAAACGGAGTGAAGATATTTATATGAAAAAATATGAAAAGTTTAGACTTTTTGGAATGGATTGGATTTTTTTGCTCTTTTGCTTTTCTGCCACACCTGGGAGCAGACGTCGGACTATCACGAGACTTAAACTAAAACTTAGATCAGTGTTCCTCACCTTTGCAGATGACACCCGACGCTTTGAAACCCACACACAAGTGACTCCTGTTGACGAACTCCTTGCACTTCCACAGACTCTGCTCGGCGGTATTGCACATGTAGTAATACAGCGGCCCGTTGTTGTGTCTGAGAGGCGGATAAAACCGGGTGAAGTTCTGCGGCTCGGTGCCGCACTGCAGCATGGAGCACACCATGGAGGCCATGCGTACGTTCCAGCAGTTATCGCACACCGTGCCCCAGCTGCCGTTACGGTGGACCTCCAGTTTACCGGCGCAGCGGTCCAGACCTCCACTCAGTCTGATGTCTCTCATCTCTGCGCACAGAACACACGCCGTGAGGACGGGCCGCGAGAGCTAACGCCTTTAAACATCATTAAAAACATTCAGTATCAATGAGAAAAAGGCTAACGCTTAGATTGCTAAACTGCAGAGTATCCAAATAGTTTGACTTTGTTTTGCTACTACCCCTGGTTTTGCTACATTCTAAGCTAGCGAGTCGTTATCTCATATAGCCTTTTATTAACATTATCAGTTTGTTTTTATTCAACCTTTAGTTAATTTTTAGCTTTGTTCAGTTAGTCACTAGAAATATTTCAGCAAAAACTTAGATAAAATGCTGTTAATATTTCTATACACGTGGCTAATATGTAGCTTGGCTTTAGCCAATTAAAAAAAAAGCCAGTTTTACTGAATGTAATGTTTGGTCACTAACTTTCTGCCTTTTGGTGGTTTTCAAATATTTATAGACATTTTGGCAAACATAGGGTTAACTTTTATCTGTAAGAATAGGACAATTGTTATTTTCTGATAATTTTTTTTTTTTTTTACAAAACTTGACCTCCATGTTAAAATTCACTAATGGAGCATTAGCAGCATTAGCCTTTCACTGTTTACAGTGCTATGCTATTAGCATTTTTCAGATGTGAATGTCTTTGACTTGGACCTGAACATATGACCCCAGCGTCCTCCTTGTGTCCACAGTCCGTGTCCTCCTTCCCCACAGCGGGACACTCCCACAGGTTCTGTTCGTTGCCCGTGCAGTTCAGCTCGTCCAGGAGGACGCGTCCTCTGCCTGCTGGGAAAGAACCGCCCTGACCCGTCACGTTCAGGGCATAGCCGCAGCCCAGCTGGGCACAGACCACGTGTGCGTCTCTCAGGTCCCATTGGTCGTCACACACCGTTCCCCAGCTGCTCTCACTCCACACCTCCACCCGTCCGGCACAGCGGTCTACGCCTCCTACCAGGCGAACAGCGTGGTGACCTGTGGGCCACAGCCCAGAGGTTGAAAACACACTCGGGGTTTTTACCTGTTGAACAGACTGGTTTCTGTGTCTTACCACAAACTGCGGCGGTGACCACGACGCAGTCGCTCCTCACACTCAGAGAACAGTTGAGCAGTCGGTGGTCTTTGTACAAACAGTCGCGGAAGCAGGTGGCGTTGGCGAGGGCGCTGGTTTTATTTACGTGATAAACGCCGCCGCAGGTGAGACCCCGACAGATCTGTTCAGCCAGAGCGTCTGCAGAGTCTGGAGAGAGCGGAACCACATCAACGCTGCCGTTCACAGGCAGAGACAGAGTCCAGGAACATCTGCCCCTCAGCTGGACGTGAGGGTCACCTGAGGGCACACACACACACACACACACACACACACACACACACAAACGATGAAACGTTAAATTATTATTAACTTAAAATTAGGGACTAAAAAACGATTCTTACAGCCGTTTGATTTACGTTCTCTCCTTCAACAAAAAAATGTAGACACTGTGATAAATGTTTATAAATAACATTTGTTACTGTTTGTTATTTAAAGATAATGTTCGACTGGATGAACAGAAGTGACAAAAATGTAATTTCACGTGACATAATTTTAGCTAAAACTGACGACTAAAGGTTAGCCCAAATCCAAGATGAATGTTTATTAGGGGTATCTGCTAAAAGTTAGCCAAATAAATAAATACATTTGTTTTTAATGTAGTAAAAATATCTTATCTAAACCTCCTCTGGTTATTTTAAACTAATTGCTGCTGCTATTATTTTTTGAAATAATCTTTTATTATTATTATATTTATATTCAAACTGTTACATTTATACAATTATATATTATATTTTTTGCACATATTTTTTATTTATTTTTGTTTCCAGTGTTCCAGTGCACCTTTCAGTTTCAAATGTCAGATTGTGTCAAAATACTAATTGTATTAATCATTTTAATAACACCCCCTCTGCCCCCCCACCCTGAGATTACCACAATCATCCACCTGCTGTTTCCTGTTATAAACCTGTCACAGCATTAGCATTTATGCTACATTTAAGCCTATTTTCCTATTTTTCCTCCACCATCGTTGTGAATATTTCTGCTCCAACTGGTGTGTGTTTTTTTGTTTTTGTTTTTTTTTCTGACCCAGTGACATTTCTGTGGAAGCGCACTTGAACTGGAACATTTGATGGAGGAGGTGAACCCACGCACAAACAAGTGGCGTGTTGGTGTTTTTACACTGAGCTGCAATCGTCGCTGTGTCATTCTGCATCTGCAGGATCCACAAACAGGGTCAGCCCACATCCTGTCACAACAAGAGCTGAACATTCATACAGCCCCTGCCTCAGATCATTATCCTGGTGCTGCACACACACACACACACACACACACACGTGTTTTACAGCAGGGGTGTCAAACTCAAATTCACACTGGGGCAAAATTAAAAACTGGGATGAAATCATGGACCAAATTAATTTTTTTTTAATGACAGCAATTGTTCATGTTTTCCCTTCTGTTCAGATCTGTGATAAAAGTAGATTTTTAGACACATTTGATATGATCTCACGGACCAAATATATTTAGACTGCGGACCAGATTGGGCCCCCGGGCCTGAGTTTGACGGTGCGTGTCACTTGTCACTTACTGTCGACTTTCTCCAGCGTTCCCTCGGCCGTCGTGTTGTTTCTCTCCGCTACCAGTTCCTCTCTGACATCAGCTGGTTCTGGTGGTGTGGCTGAATTTGAGGAAGCTTAAAAAAAAAAATATATATATATTTTAATCAAATGTTAATCAGCCAGTGAGCTTTTTTTTCTTATATATTATATTAGATTTTTATATTACTCATCAGCTTCATAGTGAATTCACTTCAAACTCTTCTCACTCCAGTCAAAGTTGTTGACAGTTTTCTGTTTACATATTTATTTATTTTTCTAACAGAAGGAACATTTGGCTCACTGATGTTTCTGTTCTGATCTGTTCCTATTAAAAAACAACCCTCAAACATCCCAAACATAAAGATTATTTAAAATCAAAGTCAGTCCAGTGTTATTAATGCAGTTATTTAATTCACTTTATTATAACTTTAGAATAAAAAAAAATCTTTAATCTCTTAGCCTAAAACCTCTTAGCTCACGTTGACGACCAGCCCTTAAATCTCCACTAATCACACATTAACTCAACTCAAATTTCATCTCATTACCGTGACAGAAACAGCCGAGTCGGACGACGAGAAAACAAACGACCGGCAGCTTCATGTCCCTGATCTGCTGCTGCTGCTGCTGCTGAAGAAGAACAAACTGAAGAACAAACTTCCTCTCACTGTTCTCTTTACACAGGAGGTAAGTCAGCGGTGGTGACATCCCATCATCCCCTGGGTTTAGACAACAAAGTAAAGCACGTGTTGGAAAACAACCAAACAAAGACATTAAAAAGAGATTTGAATTCAAACTTTCTACGTATGTCAACTTAAAGAAAGGCAACCAGACGAGTGGAGTTTAAAAAAAACAGCAAAAGTTCCATATTGGTTTGAAAACATTACATTTTTACAGAAAACACCAAAAAGAAGAACCAAAGATTAACAGTTATAACTAACAGTTGTCCGACTGTAGCAGAAGACTTTACTCTAAATTACAAAAATATGTTTCTTTATTTCCAAACAACTGGACCTTCTCTAATCTTCCTCTCCGTTTTCCTACTTTTCAACTCTCTCCCTCGATTGGCCACCCTGTTTAGAAGCCCCGCCCACTGTCGAAGTCATGCCTGGAAAAGGAAACATTTGACCATTTGGATTTGCAGTGTTTCCTGGTGTCCAAACATCAACATCACACGTCAGTTGTTTCTGTAAATTCAAAATGTCACGGAACAAAGTTGTTTCTGTAAATTCAAAATGTCACAGAACAACTGAAATCTGATTTTTATTTTTTTTTTTTTTTAAATATTTTGTTTTTATAGCGTATTATACCAAACAAAACTTTCATGAAAAAACCCCAGAACAGATGGAGTTGATCATTTTGTCAAGACAATTAAACACTCAACAATATCCAACCTGGTGTCTTTTAAAGCTGTCCTCCTGCTGTGCCTCAGGCCCTATGTTGGAAACTCAGAACTGAAACGACCGTGTCGTGGCTGAAACACTAAAAAAAACTGAAACGACCGTGTCGTGGCTGAAATACTGTCGTAGGCAAAAAAAGGGGGGGAATTATAGCTGTTGGACGTCCAGCTCTGTGTCCTCAGCGTCCACTCACTGGACGTCCACTACCCAGTGTCGGCAGCGTCCGTTCTCTGCCACAGACCTGGTCCAGGTCTGTCCAGGTCTGTCCAGGTCTGTCCCAGCAGGTCCTCCAGTCCTGGTGCAGTAGGTGGGCAGTCGGTGTGAGGACCTTTTGCCAAATAAACAACGAGAGACAAAACTTCCAGACTGATGATGACAACATGACGGTGGTGGTGACAGGACGTGGACTTTGAACTGATTGACAGTTTGGGACGTAACGATGCATCATAAACACAGAACCGTTAATAAAATAAAGTGTCAATAAACTCCTGTAGTGAAGAAAAGAGCTGTGAGTGAAATCGTATGGTGAGTTGAACGTATCGTTCCGTTCCTAAACTGCTGCTGAATGATGGGAGTTTTTCTTCTTTTCTTCTTCACCTTTGAATCTCTGACCTTTTTTACACAGTGACAAGAAGAGCAGAGACTTCCTGTCAACCCTCTGCAGCACAGAGTTAAAATGTCACACACTGAGCTCCGAGACAAATGACGTCCCATCGCGAAACACTAACGAGTCGACAGACTTGAACTCCTCTGGTTAATAAGTAACTGAAACGCTTCCTCCAGACTGTTTTTTACAAATACTTTTTTTTTAATCTTTAAATGTTATTTCTATTTTGTCTCATTAGCATTTACTAGATATAACCAGTCTTTAATTTACTGCTTCAGAAAATATCTGTCTATAATTCAGTACTAAATTAAAAAATTTAACAACCAGATGATGCCCTCGATGGAACTATCTTTGGGTAAAAGTTCCTTTTATATCTGCAGCACAGGATTTTTTTTTTACCCAGCAACAGCATTGGTGGTTAAACTCAGATAATGGTGATTGGTTAGGGTTAAAAAAAACATAAGTAACTGAAACGCTTCCTCCAGACGGTTTTTTACAAATACTTTTTTTTAATCTTTCTATTTTGTCTCATTAGCATTTACTAGATATAACCAGTCTTTAATTTACTGCTTCAGAAAATATCTGTCTATAATTCAACCATCTGTGCCCCGCGATGGAACTATCTTTGGGTAAAATTTCCTTTTATATCTGCAGCACATGATTTTTTTTTTTACCCAGCAACAGCATTGGTGGTTAAACTCAGATAATGGTGATTGGTTAGGGTTAAAAAAAACTTAAATTAAATAATCACAACTGAGCTACTGGATTTATTTAGAAATGAATTTTGTGCCACAAAAAACAAAATAAAACGACCACAGTTCTGTCCTCCTGTGAGTGTCTCTCCACTGTGTCTCTCACTGTGTCTCTCACTGTCTCTCACTGCTGAGTCTGACTGTTAGAAGTAGAGTTTGGCCATGGCCTGCAGGAACCTCTTCTTCCTCTTCTGAGCAGCCAGCTGCAGAACTTCCTCTGGATTACTGGTGTTCAGCTCCGACTGGCCGATGGCTTTAATCTGAGGGACGGACAGAGACCAGAGCAAGTCAGGAGAACGTCCCTGGATCAGACCAGAGTTTGGTGCACATGTTGCAAACACAGCTGCAGGAAGTGGAGAGAAAAAAAAAAAGCAGCAGCGTCCTCTTCTGCAACGTTAGCTTTGAGGATGAAGACGTAAAACTACACTAACACTAGTGAATAATTCACAACGTTGATGTTTTGGCTGAAATTTTCATCATGTGAAGGGATGAAGGAAATATTTTTAGTTTGATTTTGACCTTGAAATTAATTTTTCTTTCCAGGATTCCTGTTTATAAAGTGTCTGAAATGTTTTCTGGAATTTTTAAAACAAATCTTAAATATTTTTGTTCTACATTTTCACCAATGTTTTTGTTCTGGGGTGGGGGGGCTTACAGATGGTCTTAAAAGTTTAAGAAAATGTTTTTATATCCTGTAAAAATGTTTTAAGTGTAGTGCAAATTAATGAAATTAGTTTTTTAGGCTTTTACTTTCCTTTTTCATGATCTTTTGTGTGAAGTTTTTTTTTCTGACCACCTTTGAACGACTCACCGCAATCTGTCTTTTCTCGGCCTCGCCCCGTTTTTGATGAATGTCTGGGTCTGGATTAAGAAAAACATCTGAAAAATCACATTAACTTTCTTTCTCATTCTTGCTTTGTTATTTTATGAGGCATTAACAGATCATAAACCACGGAGAAGGTCGACCCTCATCCTCTACTTTTCTCTTCCCTTTTACAAACCGGGCAGCGTAAGGATACATGTGAGATACTCCAGGATGGTGACGTCCCAGATGTAGTCGTAGAACGAGTCCATGGCGTCGTGACTGAAGAACAACCAGAGACAGAGGTTGAAAAAAAAAAATGAAGTGAAGAACCGTGAGAGTGGTGTTTCTGGAGCTGCGTCCCACCTGTTCTGTTCCTGAAGAGCTTTGAACGCCGTCATGTAGTCCACCTCCCTCAGGAACTGGCAGAGGACGGCCACCTGAGGGCGACAGAGGTAACACTTTGTTTAAAGAAGAGGCTCAGTGGTGAGAATCCCTTTGATGACGGTCCAGTTGAATAAACGTGTTTGAGTCATGAGTTTTGAACTCTGAACTTTGCCCCCCAGCCCCTAACTCTAACCCCAGTGACGTGGTGTGTGTTTCAGTCCCTCACCTGTGTGTGGCAGTTCATCATGGAGCAGCACTTGATCATCCTCTTCAGAACCTGCACAGAAGGTCAAAAAAAATTTTACCCACGAACCATGTTTAATTCCTAGCCCTAGTGGGCCGCTTTAAATGACATAAAGGGCTGGACGTGGGCCCCAGACCTCAAGTTTGACACACGAATTAGGAGTTTCCCCTTTTTTGGCGGTCTTATTTTTTTATTTTGTGAATTTTCCAGTGAGGGCTGTGACAGACCTGGTCTGTGTAGACGTCCGGAGGCACGGCTTTGGTGAAGAAGTCAGAAGACACAGCTCCAGCCTGGAGGTAGAAGTTCAGAGCAGCAGAGTACTGATTGGTCACTGCAAACAGAAACAGAACCAAGGAGTCGTCACTAGAACCGACCGTGAACTTGTTGTCCAATATCTCACACACTTAGACCCTGGTTGTAATGAAAAAAAAAAAAAATTTTCACCAAAGTAGATGTCAGCCTGTGTGATGAGCCACGACTGGTTGTTGGGGTTCAGGGTGAGCGCGTAGGACACCAGCTCTTTGACCGTCACAGCCACGGCCTCCACGTCCACCGCCTGGATGCTTTAATTTAATTATTATAATTAATATTCTCTGTGGCTGGAAACAATTCAATTGAAGGAAGTTACAGAAAAATAATAACGGTACTTTGGCAGAGTTGACGGCCAGATGGACAGATGTTCTGCTGTGACCTCGTTTACTATGTCGTCCTGGAAAGGAGGAAAAAAAAAATGTTCAAACAATATTTAGAACAAAATATAAAAAAAATAAATTAAAAAACATAGTGATTTTAAAAGAATAAAAAATCTTAAATATTTTTGTTTCTAAATTTTCACCATCGTTTGTTTTTCCTCTGCTGCAGTGACTGCTTTCATAAAGGGCCTACAGATGGTTCTGGAAGAGCTGTATGAACCTGATCCACCGTTTTATGTGTAAAACAGCGCCCCCTACATGTACGCGGCGAATGAGTGTTGAAAACATGGTACTGCACTCCCAACGCAACCACATTGGTCAAATAAAATGTAGAGGCAGTGGTGGCCTAGTGGTAAAGGAAGTGGACTTCGGTCCGGAAGGCCCCAGGTTCGAATCCACCAACTGCCAGGTTGCCACTGAGATGCACTGAGCATGGCATCGTCCTCAAGCACTGATCCCCGGGCGCTGACCACGGCTGCCCACTGTTCACTTGGTGATGGGTTAAATGCAGAGGTTAAATTTCATTGTGCATGGTGTGCTGTGCTGTGCTATGTCACAAATGACAAATAAAGATAAGTTTAAAAGTTTATAAGATTGTGGTTGACCGCCACGTCACAAATGAGTCGTGGCCGCCAGAGGGAGCCAGAGGTCCGGATGGACACCACTTGTTTGCAGATTTTGAGTGTGATATTAATGTTTATTGACACCCACCCTGACGATGCTGTGCAGCCTCACAAACAGAGAGGTGAGGGTGGTCAACACCAGCGGCTCCTGGGGGTAAACAGACCAAACAGGTCAGTGTTGATGTTTTGTTCCCTACTGTAATTCCACCCTTGAAGTTTTAATATTCTGGACTTACTCGAAGTTTCTTGATGAAAGTGATGAATTTGCTCCTTGAAAAACAAAACAAAAACAACAACAAAATCAGAATAAAGAGTCGAGTCCTTAGTGATAAAGGTGGAAACAGTGTGGAATGCGTACCTGGGCAGGATGCCCAGAGACGAGTCTCTGTGTTTGATGAGGCCCACTCGGCCGTCGTTGTTCCTCTTGTGCTGCATGGACACGCTGCAGATCTGGACCACCACCTCCCACAGCTCCTTGGCCGTGCGTCGACTCTCCTTGGGACCGGGCAGCTCTTTGCAGGTGGAGGCCAGGAGCTGACCCACCTGGACGGGACGTTTTCACTCATCATCAATAATCAATTAATTAATAGTGTGAAGTCATCGTCAGGAGGTCACAGCAGGTCTCACCTTGATGTAGGGGTTGTTCATGACCAGAGAGGGCGGCACCTGCAGGGTCAGATAGTCGTTCTCTCTCCAGTTCAACATGAAGGCGACGCACTCCTCTCCGACCACCTGACGCAGCGGCAGATCTGGGGAGAGAAATGTGATCAGTTCCACCTGCGACACCTCCAGTTCTCCTTCACTTCCTGTGGTTCTTCCTGGAGAACAGCCTGACCGTGGATCCTCATCTCCAGGTAACCTCGGACTCTGCTGACCAGATCGGGCGGCGGCCTCTCTTTGCTGCCCTCTGCTGCCATGGTCTCGTGGGCTCTCACCTCCAGCAGCAGCATCTCGTTCAGCATCACCTGCCTCAGTTTGGGCGAGAACTCCGTCACCAGCTCCAGGCAGGCGGAGAAAAGCTGCCGTGCGTGGACAAAGTCCTGACAGGACAAGAAAACATGAACGGAGGTTTCAAACCCTGAGCTCTCAAACGTCTTTACGCGGTGAGTGACGGCGGTGACCTAACGACCTTTATGGAGATGCAGTGAAGTCCTTTGGCCATCAGGATGTAGACCAGGTCTTTGGTCAGGTTGTCTTTAATACTCAGGATCACATTGATGTAGTCTGGAGGGACCTCCCACTGAGAAGAAAAACAACAACAACAAAATAATCAAAGCCAAAATGAGAACACTTGTGAAACATCATGACATCATTGTTTTTCCCAGTTTCTCCACCTTGCTGTTGACCTTCCAGAAAGGTCTTTCAGCCATGCCATGAAGCTCAATAAGAATCTGTCTGATCTTGCGTGGATCCAGTGACAGGATGAGCTGCTGCTCCAACTGTCCGATGTTGACGGTCGGAGAAGCTGTGGAGGAGCAGAGCAGACGGACGGAAGTGTAAACAAACAGGTTCTCCACTGAGGCAGAGGACGAGGACAGAGGAACCTTGTGAACGCACCTGGAATGTCGTAGAACGACGGCAGAGGTTTGGTGCTGAGGTTGATGGTGGCCGACCTCTTCTTCATCTGCTCCACCAGGACGTTCCTCTCCTCCTCCCTCAGCAGCTCCACGAACAGCTTGTGAGAGGAGACCACGAAGACCATGGAGAGGTCTTCAAAACTTTCACCCAGAGTCCTGGACCGGAGAAAACACCGGGTCGGTTTATTGACGTTTAACTGGAGGAGATGCTGAAGAATCTCAGTGTTCAAGCACTTTCAAGGTCCACTTCAAGACCTTATTGGTGGCAGACCACAGTCTTTACAGTTGACA